GAGGATCGATGATCGAGGGTCAAGGGGGGTCTGGACCCACCCCCTCCCCATCATGAGCCTCAGTGCAGGGGGGAGGTCCAGCCCGAAGAAGAGGAAGAAGGAAGATGGTGATGGTGGTCATGGGTAGGATGAGGAGGAGGAGGAGGAGTAGGAGGAGGAGGAGGAGGAGGAGGAGGAGGAGGAGGAGGAGGAGGAGGGGTGAGGAGGAGGAGGAGGAGGAGGAGGAGGAGGAGGAGGAGGAGGAGGAGGAGGGGTGAGGAGGAGGAGGAGGGGGAGGAGGAGGAGAAGGAGGAGAAGGAGGAGGAGGAGGAAAGAGGGGGGAGAGGGGAAAGAGGGAGGGGGGAGGAAGAGGGAACCAAAAATACCAAACGCGTGCAACTGCCACTCAAAGCCAGCAAGTCCCCCAGCCCCTCGCGGGGATAGGAAGGGGAGGGAGCGGAGGGCCCAGACTCCCATCGAAACGTGAAGCAATGAGAGGCCTCCTGGATGGGGTTCGAGCAGGGGGGGTCGGAAGATCTCGCCGCATCGCCGATGCGTCGGCAAGAATCGCCGATGCAGTCGGCGATGCATCGGCGATGCGCTGGCGGCGTCGGCGATGCATCGGCGACGTCGGCGTGGAGAAGCTTGGGCCCCATGTTGCGACGCATGGCCGATGCATCGCCGATGCAATCGGCGATGCGGCGCGATCCTCCGACCCCATCTGCTCCGACCCTATACTGGAGGGCCTAGAACAATGTGGGCGTGTTTTTTGTTCTCGGTCTTCGGCCCCGGGGGCCCACAATCCGGCCCCGGGGGCCGTCAACACGAGGGCTCGGGGCAAGCGCCCGGTCCTCGGCGAGGGGTCGGGCCCTCGGGGGGCCACTTCGCGAAGGGGTGGCGGCGTCGGGGGTCGGAGGGCGAAAAGGGGGGAGAAGGAGTGGGGGAGGGAGGGGAGGGAGGAGGAGGGGCGGAGAGGGAGCATGAGCAACAGGAGGGAGGAAGGGAAGGGAAGGGAAGGAGGGGGGGAGGATGAGGATGAGGATGAGGGAGGCGGAGGAGGAGGAGGAGGAGGAGGGAGGTGGAGGGAGGTGGGCGGGATGGAGGGAGGGAGGCGGAGGGAGGGAGGTGGAGGGCGGGGGAAGGTGGGCGGTAGGTGGATGGAGGGAATTGGAGGGAGAGAGGCGGGAGAAAAAACGAGGGAGGTGGGCACCGGACATGAGACGTGCTTCTGGTCCCTGGGCCGCGGATCAGCAGGGGGAGGAGGAGAACGAGCTACGCTCTCCGTTCTCCGACCCCCCCTGGGTTTGCCCAGGCACTCGGCGTGGCGCCGCAGAAACTGCGCGGGCTCGACCGCGGCGGTCTGCTCGGCGCTCCGCCCACGGGGTCGGTGTCGTCCGGTATCCGTGGGGCTCGCGGGCGCAACCGGAGCCGCAGCTCGGCCGCGTGCCAGCGCAGCGCCAGCGATCAAGATGCCACTGCGGTTGCCATGCCGTCCGTGTTGGCGTTGGCGCTGGCGACAGGCAGGCGCGCCACGCCGATGGCGAGCAGCACGTTTGTCATCCCCGATGGCTCGCTTCGTCGGGGTCCCACTGGTGGCGGCACCAGGCGACATGGCGGCCAAGTGAACGTGAAAGACAGCATGTCCCTGTGCACTGGCCCTTGACAGCTGGATCGCCCGTTCGAGAGAGCTGCCCACAGTAGGCTAGAACTCGCGATGACTCCATCCCCGATCGCCCTTCGGGAGAGAAGGAGCGAGAAGGAGGCGGGAGTGGGGGGGGGGATATGAGGAGGAGGAAGAGGAGAAGGCGGAGAAGGAAGAGGAAGTGCGAGAAAGGGATTCAGTAAGAGAAGGGAGAGGGGGACGAGGAGGGAGGAATGAGTAGCGATAGGTAACCCTCAACCCCCCTCCCCGTCCTCCTCCTCCTCCTCCTCCTCGTGCTCCTCCTCCTCCTCGTGCTCCTCCTCTTTCTTCCCTCCTGGGGAAGAGGGAGGAGTGAGGAGTGACGAGAGGAGTGAGGATGGTGAGGAGTACGAGAAGGAGAAGGAGGAGGAGGAGGAGGAGGAGGAGGAGGAGGAGGAGGAATAAGGAGGAGGAGGGGGAGGACAAAAGTGGGAGTGAGGAGGAGGAGGAGGAGGAGGCGGGAGGAATGAGGAGAAGAAGTGAGGGTGAGGAGGAGAAGGGGAAGGGCGGGGTACTAGGGGGGCTGGGACCTGGCTGGCGCTCAGGTACCTTGCCAGGTATGCGCCGAGCGACGTCTCGTACTGCAGCCGAGCTGGCATGGCGGCCATCGCGAACCTGGGCAGTTTTTGGCGCGAGGGAGCGGGGCTCTCAGGGCCTCGGGCCGCCAGGCCTCGGGCTGCGCCCGCGCAGCCTCCCGCACGGAGCCCTGGCTTGAGGTCGGACATGTCCTCCTACAGGCGGACTTCGGAGGAAACATGACAGTAGCCAAACCAATAATAGAAAAACGTCCCGCCGGAGGAGACGAGAAGGGGAGGAGTAGGAACAGGAGGAGGAGGAGGAGGAGGAGAAAAACGTCCCGCCGGAGGAGACGAGAAGGGGAGGAGTAGGAACAGGAGGAGGAGGAGGAGGAGGAGGAGGAGGAGGAGGAGGAGGAGGAGGAGGAGGAGGAGGGCGAGGAGGGGGGAGGCGGATGAGGATGAGGAGGAGGAGGAGGAGGAGGAGGAGGAGGAGGAGGAGGAGGAGGAGGAGGAGGAGGAGGAGGAGGAGGAGGAGGAGGAGGAGGAGGAGGAGGAGGAGGAGGAGGAGGAAGGAGGAGGAGGAGGAGGAGGAGGAGGAGGAGGAGGAGGGGAGGAGGAGGAGGGGGATGGAGGAGGAGGAGAGGAGGAGGAGGAGGAGGAGGAGGAGGAGGAGGAGGGGGATGGAGGAGGAGGAGGAGGAGGAGGAGGAGGAGGAGGAGGAGGAGGAGGAGGAGGAGGAGGAGGAGGAGGAGGATGGAGGAGAGGAGGAGGAGGAGGAGGAGGAGGAGGAGGAGGAGGAGGAGGAGGAGGAGGAGGAGGAGGAGGAGGAGGAGGAGGAGGAGGAGGAGGGAGGAGGAGGAGGAGGAGGAGGAGGAGGAGGAGGAGGAGAGGAGGAGGAGGAGGAGGAGAGGAGGAGGAGAGGAGGAGGAGGAGGAGGAGGAGGAGGAGGAGAGGAGGAGGAGGAGGGAGGAGGAGAGGAGGAGGAGGAGGAGGAGGGGATGGATAGGAGGAGGAGTAGGAGGAGGAGGAGGAGGAGGAGGAGGAGGAGGAGGAGGACTATTCTTGGCCTCCTTTTGAATGTTCCTCCTGTCGAGGGACATGCCCAAATGAACCCTGGCTGGCCTCAATCGGTCTCCCCGGCGAGGTTCGGGGCGGCTGGCCCCTGGGGCGCGGAGCGGGGTGTTGAGACCGTGCGTTGGCAACACACGGGAGCCTCCCGTGCCACCTCGTCGGCTCTCGCGAATCGACGCCAGTCACGCGGAACCGACGCGAGCCGACGCTGAGTCGGCACTATCTCATCGACTCCAGAGGCCGATCGCCGCTCGTCGACGCCAAAGACCGCCCCCTCACGCGAGCGGCGAGAGGCAACGGGCCTCGCGAGGGATGGCACAGCGACCTTCCCGCGGGGGCCTGCGCGGGCTGCCGGCGCGGCGCGCCACCTTGGAAAAGCGAGGGCGCCGACGCGCGGCCTTGCGCGGGCGGCTCGCGCGCGGATGTCGGCGCAGTCGGCCCCGTTCTGCTGCGTCGCCCACGTGGCCGAGTCGGGAAGCCCTGAACCCAGACATGTCTGGCGCCTCGCATTGAATTCCACCGCCGTGCGCCAGCCTAGGACGACGCCAGGATGAGGATCACATCGGGTGATAAGAGAGGGAGAATCTCTGATACCCGGCGGCTCTGGAGGATGTCTCGGGCGCCGCGGCCTTCCGAGAGCGTTCGGGAACGCTCGAGCGTTCCAGAGCGCTCTGGAACTGATGTATCCTCATCCTAGCCCCGTCCGATCCTCCCCATTTTGCGACCTCGCCGCCGCGTTGCACAGCATCCTCGCGGACTACGCGGGCGGAAGCCGACGGGCAGGGACGAGAGACGAGCGCAAGGGGGAGGCGCGAGGAGGGGGACCTTCTCGTACAGCTAGGCTGAGAAGGCCTCCTCCGAAGCCTGCCAGCCCGTCCAAGAAGCACACCTGCCCTCTCAGCAGGCCTCCCCCCCCCCCAACGCCTGCCCAGTCCGCGTCCCATCGAGCCTCCGCGAAGCAGCGGTGTCGATGTGCAGCCGTTGATCCCCCCAGGCGCCCGAGCTTCTTCTCCCTCTCGAACACCTCGAGCGTGCACTCCAGCCTGCCGCTCAGGGTCTCGACGTCTGCCGACCCACGCTTGCCGAAGGGTTGATAGGGGCGCGTTGGGATCCGATCGGAATCCGATTGGGGTCTTCATGGCCGTGCACGAACGACACGTTAACTGTTCACCGAGAGCCCACCGAAACCGATCGAAACCGACAATCCGCGTACATAACCGAATCACGCGACCGAAACCGACGGACAGCGCAACGACGAACGACAGAAGCTACGCAGCAGCTGGAACCGACACCGGAACGCAGCTAAAACTGAAGGGCCGATGCGTTTCTTCAGGGTGGCCATCGTGCCTTCTGCGACTCCGAAGAACTCTCGCGGCCGGCTTCAAGCCCCCCAAAACTTGCAGGATAGCGTCTCACGTCCAGGGTCCAAGGGTTCCCTCCTGCTCCTGCTCTTCTTCCTCCCTGCTGTATGTCGTATATCCCTTCTTCTCGCCCTCCTCCCTCCCTGCTGCCCCTCCGAAGAAGTTGTTTGAATACTTCCCCGAACTCTGAAACATGTTGATACGTTGTTCCAGCAACTCGCCGCCGCGTCTCCCCGAAGCAGAGGACCAGCACTGGCTACCCATGTCATGCAGCGCCCTTCCTCCTGCTCCCCCTTTGCTCCTCCACACCCTTCCGCCTCACACCCCATGCCCCGCAAAGCCTCACAGAAACACCAGCTTGCTCACAAGAACAAAACACGCTAGCAAGCGACTCCGCCAACCGTAACAGAAAACACTGAGGGTGCTTTCTGGCCCCCAATTGCCCATCCCGGGCAGAGACGTACTTTGGGCACACTTAGCCTTACCAAAAAGGCAGACAACCCAAACAGTTGTTTTCGAGCTCGGGAAGCCCTCTGGTTCCCTCCCGAAGGTTCTCCTTGGCTTGCCCGCGCCCACCCGATTTCTTTACGAGCTCGGGAGGCCGGCCGGCCCCCTCCCGAGGTTACCTTGGGTCTGCTGGCGACCCCATGGGCACCCCAAGAACAAATTGCTCGAGCCGCGAAACATGGATTCTCGAGCTCGCATAGAGCCCTCCAGCTCCCTCCTGAGGTCCCCCGTACGGCTTGCGGGCGCCCCCCGAAACCCCCAAACCAGTTTTTCGAGCACAGGAGAAGCATCGAGTTCGAAGGGCCCTCGGGCTCCCTTCCGAAGTCCCCCGCAGGGCTCGCCAACGCCCCCACGAAACCCCGAAACAGTTGGAACCTCGACGAGCATACTTTCGAGCTCGCAGAGCCTTCTGGCCCCCCCTTCCGAAGTTCCTTTGGGCTTGGCGGCGCCCCCTTCCCGAAGCCCCGAACAACGAGTTGCCGAGCTCCGAAACCCTGTCCTTCGACGGCGAGGAGCCCTCCGACGCCCTGCCGAAAACTGCCCGGGGTCTTGCCGGGGACCCCCTCTGACCCCCCAAAAGATGGTTCGAACCCGCCGAGAGGTCGCTTTCCGAACGCGACTTGAGCAGGGACCGACCGTCCCGGCATCCCCATAGAGTCCTACCACGAAATGCTCTTAGAACCCCCAAAGAAGGTCTCAGAACACAAACCAAACTTTAAGAACTTAAGCCTTATGTGCTAAAACAAGACAGCCCCAGCCGAACATGTTCTAAGAACATTTCGTGGAAACCACGAAAGGTTCTTAGAACATTCTTTGGTAGGCCTTTAGGAACGCCAGGACGCTTCGCCACTGCTTGAGCGACGGGGTCTCCAGCTCCCTCCCGAAGAATGCTGGGGCTGGCCGGCGCAGCCCCCGCACCCCAACAGCCCTGCTTCAGCTCCACAAGGATGCTCCTCGACATCGACGGGCGCTCTGGCGCCCTCCCGATGTTCCATGGGGCTCGAGAGCGCCCCCCACGAAGCACAGAAGCAATTCTTCGAGCCCCGCGAGAGGGGTTCATCTAGGGGGCAAACAAACCTACCTCGCTTTTGACCACCCTCGCTTCCAAGAGATACCAAACGATGCCAAACCACGGCATGTACTGGTCAGGCGGCTTGACGAGGAGGCGTATGGTATGACTTGGTTTTGCCTGGAAGCGAAAGCGGGGTAGGTAATTCACGCTCTGATCATCTTCGAACTCCGCGGGCTCTCCGGCACCCCCCCGAGGTGCCGCCGGGGGCTCACCCGCGCCCCCCCCGCCCGAAGCCCCCAGACAGTTACCGGAGCCCCACAGCCCTGCTGCGCTCGACAGGCTCTTCGGCTTCCGAAGTCCCCCGGGGCTTGCTGGGTCCCCCGAAGGCCGAACAAACTTTCCCTCGAGCGTCCCAACCTGCGCGGCGGGAAGTGGCGATCAAACTACCCCAATCCGGAACCAGAAAGTGAAACAAGAAGGATGCAGCTGGGACTCGGGGGTCCGGCCTACCCCTGCAGGCTGCGGAGAGAGAGAGAGAGAGAGAGAAGAGAGAGAGAGAGAGAGAGAGATCAACGCGACGCATGAACCCGAAGGCCGAACAAACATCGACTACACGCAAGAGTGGCCCTGGGTAAGAGTGACCCTTGGTGCGCGGCTTCTGGGGGACCGCGGGGGGGCCAAACACAAGCGCGCAAGACGCTACTATCGCATCGCGTTCGGCGACCGGGGAAACCCATTTGGCCCGCACCAAAGGTCACTCTGGCGAAAGGTCACTCTTACGTCCAGTCGAGAACAATTGTTCGACCCCCGATTTGTTGTTGGGTGCTCCACCGAAGCCCAAGAACATGTTGTCGAGCCTCGCAACAACGTTTTCGAACACGTGGTACCCTCCGGCTTCACCCAAACAAATCCCCCAGATCTTGCCGGCGCCACCCAGAAATCCAAAAACATGCTTCAGAACCCCCAGAAATTCGAATTCCAACTCGGAAAGCCCTCTGGCTCACTCTCAGGATCCACCCAGGCTTGATGGCGCCCCCCTAATCTCAAAAAACTAAAACCAGTTTCCGAACCCCGACATATTGATATTCCGAGCTCGAAAATCCCTTCGGCGCCCTCTCGAGGTTATTTGGGGCTTGCTGGTGCTCCCTCCCGAGATCCCCAAGGCCTGGCCGGCGCTCCCCCCCTCAACCCATAAATGGTTGTTCAAGTCCGGGACGCTTGCGATTCGAATCGGACGGGTCCTCATGGGAAGCTATTTGGTGCGGGGCGAACGGCAGGAGCTACGCGGCGCAAGCTACGGCATTACGGACTGTAAACGTCGTTGTGAAGTTCATGTTTGTTAGAGGGCTGGAGATCCACCCCGATAAGAAG